AAGTGTATATTTACTAAATTAATTGATTATTGAGAATAAAACCATAAACAGTACGTTCTGAACATTCCGACTGTTACATGGACAAAACTTGCTGCAACAAACAATGACGTGTATTGGAATTTTTCTACAGAAGAGAAAACCCCGTTCTTAAGAACCGTACTTTTAAAGAACGGTTCTTTGTGGTTTTGGGTAAAAACCGATTCTTCGAGTTTTAGGTTAAAAGAGAGATATGATAACATTACTTTGTAGAGAAAAATGAAGTTGCTCGCGGTACCTAACCACGTGTCTTTAAATAGTTAAAACGATATCGCTATTAAATCAAATAGGGGCTGTATACATGTATTATAATGTATTTCTATAGTTTATTGTTATAAAAAACTGACCTACTCCATTTCATAAAATCATCTTCATCTTTAGTCCCGAGTTAAATCTCATCTGTTTTTACAATTCTAATTTTCTCTGTTCCTGTTTCATGTAGTATTCTTTGTCTTGTCTTGACACTGGGTAAAGAGCGCATATAGACATTGCACTGTATTGTATTATGTGCTATTGAAGTGGAAGTCCATTACCATATAATTACTAAATTGTATGGTAAACGATAATAACGTTGATATGCTTTTTTACAACTACTAGTTATTAATTGTGGGATTGTAGGTTGATAAGCTGTCGAAATCTTGAACTATTGGAGAAAGTTCATCCCGATCATCCTCGTTGTCTTCCACGTCATGTGCAACATTTCTGAGTTCCTGTAAACTAGCCGGTTTTCCCCAGAAGATATCCTTGACTTTTTTAAGCAGATCAACTTTAATTATCAAACAAAGAAAATGATTGATTTTATTATCATTAGATAACTAATGATGTTAATTCACTTGGTTTTGTAAAAAAAATAAATGTAAGTACTAATGAAAATTTTAAAAAAAATTAAAACTTACCAAAAACTACAAACAGAATTGAGAGATTGAGCAGCAAAAGGATGAAAGGTGTGATGTCATGGAGCACAGATATTGTGTCATCTGTGGTGTACAACCAATGTCCTCCGGACTTTTCCATGTCAACAATTGCGCCAACCGACAAGTTGACGATAATGAAGACAAGTGCCAACAGCTGGAACCTCTGATCAGACTTCTTCTCCAATGGTTCAAGGTACAAATGCAATGCTATGAGGATGACCGTGATGAAGAGGGAATATGACATGTTGGAGGGCTGGTCGTCCTTGAAGTTAGCGATGAGGGCGAGTATAGCCTTGTTGTACATATCAATTACCTCCCAGTACCAAAACTTGGAACTATATTGCTCGCAGAAGAACCTCATTCCCATGGTACCAGATCGTTCACCATGACGTTTGTATCTACGGTACAATATCAGAATAATAGCAAGTGGAAAACCAATAACATACACCAACGATCCATAAACGATGTTCTTGTTAGTCTCGTATTTTGAACCATTTGATTCATCGATATCGATAGAGTAGTCAGAAGTTAACACTCGTTTTTTATCACCATCCTCTGTAACATTAAACGTACGAACTGACCACGGTCCGACCGCCAATATGTTTGAGCAAGTGTTGGCATAGGTTAAATACAGCAACATCATTGTAATCGCCAAGAATGTGTCTGTTAAGCGATGCACAGAGTGATCCTCTTTGTTTCTTTTGTAAAGGTGCCAGATGAGGAAGATGATAGATGTTGACACAATAATAGTGAATGGTGTTGCAATGGCAATATACAAAAATGTATAAGCATTCCAAACTCCAGGAAAAATACACCTTGGGCTAAGAATATTGACAAAACGTATTACATCGAGATATTGGACACTCTCTCCAACAGATTTAAACGAATCTGGCCAATGTATTTCATTAACTTCAGACAGAATGCCCAGCACCTGATAGAAATTGATGGCAATTTTGAGATGAATCACGAAAGAGTCGTTGCGTATTGTCTCGCCTCTTCTTTTATCCAGTCTCCACACAAGGTACGAAACAAATAAGAGCACAAAAATTAACAATATCAGAGCTATTACTATTATTTGTTTATCCTGACATTTGTAACACTTGTCGAATAATTCGTAATAATGGTCACTACACTCAGCACATAGCCAAACATTAACAGAATAACCTTCCGAGCACTTTGCTTCGATTCCACCAAGGCAACTCTCACTTCGTGGACACTTGTGGGC